TGACGCGCCCCCTCTGCCCCCCCAGCGCACCCTCGCCGATCACTTCTTGGAGCTGGAGCGGGAGCGGAGCCGCCTGCAGGGGGCGCTGCGGGACAAGGACCGCGACCTGGGGCGGCTGGCGGCCGCACTGCGCACCGGGGAGCAGACCCTGCACGTAAGGGGGCTGGGGACCCCCAGAGCTGTGGGGGGAGGGGGTCACCCGGGATTTCCCACACCCCTCCCCCCGGGCAGGGCACCCCCAAGATCTTCCTCCAGCGACCCCTTTCCCAATGTCATATACACACCCCATCCTCCCCGCCCACCTTACCCAGGGAGGGGGTCCCCCATGCGGTATACGCCCCCCAATTCCCCCGCCCACCTTACCCATGGAGGGGGGTCCTCCGTGGGGTATACACCCCCGCAATTCGCCCTGCCCACTTTGCCCATGGAGGGGGGGGCATGGGGTATACAACCCCCGATTTCCCCTGCCCACCTTACCCAGGGAGCGGGGTCCCCCATGGGGTATACACCCCCCCAACCCACCTTACTCAGGGAAGGGGGTCCCCTGTGGGGTATACACCCCCCCAACCCACCTTACCCAGGGACGGGGGGTCCCCCGTGGGGTATACACCCCCCCAACCCACCGTACCCAGGGAGGAGGGCTCTGACCCCCCGCTCCCTCCCCATGCACTGTTTGGGCGCACGGGGGTCTCCAGGCGCTGCGCGAGACGCTGGAGCAGAAGGAGCTGGAGCGGACGCAGCTGGCATCGCTCTGCGCCATGGCCCAGGACGCCTGGCGCCGGCAGGACCAGACCCGGGCGCTGGCACTGAAGGAGATGCAGGAGCTGGTCGCTGCCCTGCAGGCCGCCCTGGCCAGCAGCACCAAGGACCTGGAGGTAGGGAGCCCCCTCCCCGGCCCACGTTCGCCCCGGGGCCCATGCAGAACAGTGGTTCCCGGCTCCCGCGATTCCTGGTGCCTGCTGGCTGGTCCCCACTCAGAAACGCCCTTGGGAATTCAGTGTTCGCCCCCCGTCTCTGCTCGGCGATGTCTAGAACACTGGTTACAACAGTGGCTGCTCCTGCCTCAGTTTCCCCATGGCTTTCATCCCCCCCGGCCGCTGCCATAGAGACCTTTTGCAACAACGTTTCCCACCTTCTAGCTCTTCCCGCCGGGCCCGGTGCTGATCAGAACATCAGTTGCAACAGTGTGTCCCCATCTCAGCTCGTTGTGTCCTTGGGCAGGCGCCGTGTACCCCACCGTGGCTCTCTCCCCACAGGTGCTGGCTGAGTCTCCGGCTGCTCCGGCCCCGGCCCCGGCACTGCTGCAGCGGCTGCAGGAGCAGGAGGGGCTCCTGGCCGAGGCGCTGGCCGAGCGGGCCCGGCTGGCTGCGGAGATGGAAGCCCGGCTGCAGGGGGCGCTGGCAGCCGCAGAGCAGCAGCTGCAGGTGAGGGAGGATGCGGGGCGGGGCGGGGGTCGTTGCTGGTGGAGGGTGGCAGGGCTGGGGGGCAGGAGATGGGGCAGAGTTGGGGGCAGTACCGTGGGCAGACACGGGGCAGTAATTCTCATTCCGCCCCCCCCAGGATCAGATGCATGGCTGCACCCAGGCGCTGGCCAAGCGGGCGCGGGAGGCGGGGGCCCTGCGGGGGCGCCTGGCCCGGCAGGAGGGGGCGCTGGCCGAGGGAGCCGATGCCCTGGTGCGGTGCCGGGCGGAGCTGGCCCGACTGCGGGGGCTGCTGGAGGAGCGGGACGACGCGCTGGCGGTGAGCGGGGGGCCCAGTCTGGCAGGGGGGCAGCGGTGGGATGGGAGGGACCCGACTAGCACCACCTAGTGGCTGCAGCCGCCCTGCACCCAGCTGCCAATAGGGGCTGCTGGAGGAACTGCAGCCGGGGGCAGGTTTGGCGCCACCCGCTGGCTGCCATGGGAACTACAAGGGCTGGGCTCAGCCCTGTATTGAGTTCTGTCCGGTCTCGGGCTGATCTCGTGGGTTTCCCCCCCACAGAAGGCTGCCCGGGAGGTGGAGGAGAAGGACCGGAGGCTGCAGGCGTCCTGGCTGCAGGGTGGGGCCGGAGGCATGACGCAGACGCTGTGAGCAGGAGGGTGAGTGGGGGCACCGGCAGAGGGGGAAGGGAGGGGAGAAACCATGGGGGGGGTGAAGGAGGAGGGGGCAGGGAGCAGCTGGGGGGGGGCAAATCTCTCTCCCGGGCTGCAGCTCAGCTCTGCCCTTGTCTGTGTTGCAGATCTGGGGTCTGGCGTGTGGGGCCGGCTCTGCCCCCCGCCAAGCCCCCACCGGCGATGGGACTGCCAGGGGCGCTGCAGGGAATCCCAGCTCCGGCCAGGAGGGGGCGCTTCGCTTCGCTTGACACTGCCTCGGGATGCGGGGAGTATTTCCCATCCAGTAAACGTTGGCTCTGGGGGATTTCCGGTCCCGTGGGGCTGGTGGCTGCATTGATTCGTGGTTCCCAGGAGGGGCGTTCCCTGGGCCGGCTCCCGTCACTGTGGGGCTGCTGTCCTGCCCCAAACTGCTTTGGATTAATTAACGAACCAGCCCCATTAATCAATAAATCATCTTTAATAAAATCTCCTTCCTACATAATGCCCTTCGTCTCTAGCGAGACAACCGGAGAGGTCCTATATACAGCATTTCCTTGGCTAAGCCGCTGGGGGGGGAAGGGCTGGGGAGGAGTATTGGGGGGGGCATAAAGGGGAGATGCCTTTTGATTATGGTAATTCCTACAGCATGTGGCATGGCCTGGATTGGCCATGGACAGGAAGTGACACAGGGACTGAAAGGAAGGTGGCCATTAGCAGGATCAAGGGTGGGCTGTGGGCGGACAGGACCTGACCTGGGCCGAGACAGGAAGATGAGGGGGCAGGGGTTGGAAAAGTAAGATGGCCGACAGCAGCGTGAAATGGGGCGGATGGCGCACGACAACATGGAGGAACCAGGCTGGAGAGGCGGCAGCCTGGACTATGGCGCGGGCCGCCCCGAGTCAAAGGGCCAACAGGAAGTGGAGCTAATGTGAGGGAGCTTGGCTGCAGTCACTTAAGTAGCAGGCCCACACTACAATATGGCCAACAGGAAGTGACGTCATCGAGGGGAAGGTTGGCAATGGTGGGAGAGGGCGCAGGCCTACGCTACGATATGGCCGACAGGAAGTGATGCCGCGAGGGGAAGGTTGGCAATGGTGGGGATGGGAGCGGGCCCATGCTACAATATGGCCGACAGGAAGTAATGCCCATGAGGGGAAGGGACCTGCAATGCAAGATGGCCACGGGGCAGGGGGGCGAAGGGGGCTCCCCCACAGGAAATGGAGTGGCGGGGGAGGGGCAGCACCCCGCACTTGGCGGGGGCTATTTCGTCTCCGCCTTCTTGTTCTTCTTGTTGAGGATCTTCATGAGGGAGGTCGACATGTAGTACGGCTTCTCCACCGAGCCGTCGTTCCGCTCCAGGTCCTCCACTGTGGGGAGACAGAGAGCGGGTCAGCTCCCGCTCTGCGCCCCGGCCGTGGGGCGGGCTGGGGGGCGGGACGGGGCGGGGGGCACTCACGGAAGCAGAGGAAGAGGGTGTCCACACACATGCTGTAGACGCTGAAGAAGCCCTGGGCGATCAGGTAGGCGCCCACCACCACCGTCTGCAAGGGGGAGATGGGGGTCAGCGGGGAGGGGGCAGCCCAGATCCTGACCCCCAAGGGAGACCACCCCAGATCCCGGGCCAGGCCCCAACCCCCAAGGGAGACCCCTACCTAGAGCTGAGATGCCACAACCCCAGGTCCCAAATCTCACCCCCAAACTCCAGACCCACACCCAGGGCAGGAGCCCCCACCTCCATATCCTGGATCCACCCCGCCCATGGCCCCAGGTCCTGGACCCCCCCCCACAGCGGAAGGCACGTACCAGGATGGGCAGCCAGTAGTAGTTGAGGGAGGGCGAGCTGAACCGGGGGTCGGAGATCTTGATCTGGCCCGAGAAGAAGAAGAACCCAAGGACCCCGACGCCCCCCACCACCAGCAGCTTCCCAAAGAGCAACAGCAGGTCAGTCACCTTATCCAGCACCACCACCCTGCAGGGAGGAGAGAACCCAGGAGTCCTGGCACCCGGCACCCAGCCCCCGCTCCCCTCCCGGAGCCGGGAGAGAACCCCGGAGTCCTGGCACCTGGCACCCAGCCCCCGCTCCCCTCCCAGAGCCGGGAGAGAACCCCGGAGTCCTGGCTCCCAGCCCCCCTGCTCTGACTCACCAGCCCCCACTCCCCTCCCAGAGCCGGGAGAGAACCCCGGAGTCCTGGCTCCCAGCCCCCCTGCTC